AAAAAAGCGAAAAAGTCAGTTACGCAGAGGAGAGCAAAAGCACAAAATCAAATAGTTAAAAATATTTATTCATGGCAACTAAATATAAAGCGGGGTGTGCATTTTGTCCTCCTCGCAGCAAATTTGCAATTGTCGGAGAAAACGACCGGGCAGTTGCTATTATTTGTGATACTGCTAAAAGTTGAGGGCATTCTTTAATCATTCCCAAAGACCATAGTTCTAACCTTTTCTCCGCTGGAATGAACGAAACCATTTGAAAAGAAGGAATAATTCCACTAATGCGGGACTTTATTAATAAATTAAAGAAAAACCCGCAGGTGATAGGCTTTTTTATCAATTCTAACGCTGGAGGCGCAGCGGAACAAACCGTTTTCCACACTCATATTCATATTGTTCCTGTATACCTAAAAGACAAAGACAAATGAATTGCTTTTTTTAATGGCAGCACTAGTGAGGATTCCAAACTTTTTTCTGGTTCCTGAGAAAATCTTTATCCGGACATGATGGTTCACATTGATGCTTGTCTTGGAAAAACTTTAAAAAAGGATGGAGAAGGCGTGATAGAAAGTTTTAATCTGGTTGCCCGAATAGGAGACGGAGAACTTGGCAGTGGAGAACACTTTTGGGTTATACCTAAACCTAGCAGTTATCATTGAATGGGCGGAAGCAATTCTAAATATTATAACTTTCAACAACGAGAAAAAATTGCTGAAAAAATAAACAAAGGGCAATGAGAGGAAGAAAATGCAGAAGAACCAAATATTCCGAAAAAAGATAAAACCACTGAGGAACCAATTAATAACGACGAGAATCGAGAACCAAATCGAAATGACGACAATAATGACAACCCCGAACCAGGAAAAGACAAAAACGAGCCACCAACTAATAACCAAGATTCGCCCATTTCTGACGATAGTAGCCAAAACCAGCCCACGGAAAATGGTAACCCCCAAACTCCTAATGACCAAAACGAGGATAAAAATGATAATGATTCTGATAGAAATTCACCCTCTTCTCCCCAACAAATCCTTGTTCTTGTCAAGCAATACTTTCAAAAAAATAGTATTAAATTAGTAGAATTGGATGGAGAAAATTGAATAATTACTTATGAGGATAAAGGAGCAAAAGAAACCGTTTCAGTGGCTGCTGTCCCAGAATTACAAGACTTAAAAAATTATTTAAAATCCCAAGGATTAAAATCCATTAGTGCAGCGGAATTAGGTATTACTAATGAAAAAAAGCAAACTGATGATAAAAAAAGCGAAAAATCCCCCCCGCTAATTGTCTTTTCTGTAATGGGTATTTTGTTGATAATAACAGCAGCAACCTTAATAATTAGAAGAAGAAAACGGAAAAGACAACTGCGTCGGGGCGAACAGATTAAATAACCTAAAAATATTAAATATAGATAGAGTATTAGCTCAGTTGGGAGAGCATCTGCCTTACAAGCAGAGGGTCGCTGGTTCGAGCCCGGCATACTCTACCAGTTAGACGAATAATGTGAAAAACGATTGCTCGATTTATTAGTGAGCCGGTTTATCATGAAGTTCAATTCATGAAATTCTACAAGGCTACTTTGGAAAACAAAGATGGAAATTTTACTTGTTCTTTTGGGGAAAAATATTTGAAAAAATTATTCCCGAGAAAAGAAAATTTGCTTTTTGAAATGTAAAAAAAACCAATTTTGGTTTTTCCTGCCAAGAGATAGAATTTTTAAATAATAATGAAGAGATTACTTCTTGAGTAGAAACGGCTGGCAAGGAAAATAAAGAAAAAGCAATTCAGAACAAAGAGATATTAAAAAAAGAACTAACTGAAAAGGCTAAAATAATCATCAGTTTGCTGGAAAAGGAGACTAAAAATAATTGAACCTTTCGCATTGATTCTCAACCCTTTTCCATTTATTTAGAAAATTCGAAAAATCCCCATTTAAGGTTTTTAATCAGCAATTTCGCTAAAAATCAAGTAATTTTGGATAATAACCCTGCTCTTAATCACTTAAAAAATGTTTATGCTGACTTAACCAAAATTGATATATATCATTTGTTTAAGGATATCCAAGAAAGAATTAAAATTATGGAAAAATAGATATGAATATTTTAGAATAGACAATGATATGAAAAATAAGTAGAATATTTTAAGAATAGAATAATCATAAATGATTATTTATTTCAATAGACACGGATAAGAAAAATTAATCTAATTAACCGGCTGATTTAGCTCAATTGGCAGAGCAACCGCCTTGTAAGCGGTAGGTTGTAGGTTCAACTCCTACAATCAGCACCATTATACACAATTTTGACATAAAAATACGTTAATATGAATTACGACACACACACACACACACACACACACACACACACGCACAACAAAAAAGATGTCGCTTTTGTGAGAAAGACCACTACGGAATCCAACGAGTCTGCCGAAATTGTATTGAAAGATATCGTCCTAAATTAAGTATTGGTTGATTAATTTTTTGATTCCTCTTTACCATAATTGGTGCTTTATTTTATTATCTATGGAAAAAAAATCAGCAAGAGGAATGAGATAGAGTGAACTTGTAAAATACATTATTTAGATTGGGAGCATGAAGCAAGTGGGAGGATGGCAGAGCGGCCCATCGCACCTGACTGTAGATCAGTAAAACCGGGGGTTCAAATCCCTCTCCTCCCACCATTGTAATTATAAAATTATTAATATGCGAATAAAAAAATGAGAAAAAATTTATTGAAGTATAATTCTTCTTTTAGCGCTGCTAATAACAATTGCGGCACTTACAGGCAAACTTTCCGTAAAGTGGAATGGCAAAGAAGTAAATTGAAGCAACACCAAGAAATTTTTAATTGTTGTTCCGAGTTTGCTTGGAATTTTTTTGATAATTTGACTAATTGTTAGGTTTTTTGGTAGCGGAGAAAAAGAATAATCAATGATAACCCCTCAAAATTGGAAAATATTAACCAAAAAACAGGCTGAATTAGATCAACTTATTGTCCAAAAAAGCCCCGTTGATTTAAAATGAGTCTCACCTTTCAACGCCGCGAGATTAAAATTGGCTCTACTGGTAGAAGTGGGGGAGTTTGCTAATGAAATAAAATCCTTTAAGGCTTGACGCAAAAAACCGGAAATTGATTGAACCAAAGCCCGGGAGGAATTAATTGATTGTTTGGGTTATTTCTTGGGCTTGACCGGTATTTATAAAATAAATATGTCGCCCGTTCTTATTGACAAAAAAGAAAAAGGTGCTTCATTTAACGAATTGTTGCTAGACTTTTTTGCCAAAACAAATAACTTATATATCGAGGAAAATGAGCAGTTTTACAACTTTGGGAATAGCGAAATCCCAGAAAATAAAAAAACTACTTATTATGATTGGTTGCGGATTTTTAACCACCTAAGCGAAAAATTACAAATTGATGAACAAAAATTATTAGATATTTATTTAGCCAAAAATGAAATTAACTTACAAAGAGCCCAGGCTAAATAATTTTGGGACGTAGCCAACCGGTAAGGCAAGGGACTTTGACTCCCTGATAGTTGGTTCAATTCCAGCCGTCCCAGCCATAGTAAAAAAAGTATATGAATAATAATGAATTAATTTTTTGAGTAGTAATCAGTAATATAATCAGTCTGCTCGTAATATCTTTACATTTGCTTAACGAACGTCATGAATGATTTCCCAGTTGATTATTTTGTATCAGAAGCGTATTTGTCATTTTCATTCTTAATATTATTCTCTTAATTATTTGGATTTTTGGCTATGAATTAAAATAGTCCGGTTAACTCAGTGGTAGAGTGTCTCCCTTTTAAGGAGAAAGTCGGAGGTTCGAGCCCTCCACCGGACACCAG